AGTTTTCTGTAAACAGAGGCCTTTTTATTTTCTTTTCCAATCAGTCTAGCTTTAAACCTTACAGTATGATGCTGAATAGAAATAGTAAGAATACACTTCTGTCTTCTCTTAAAGGAGTTGCATTCATCGTTACGTTTTCTTTTATTACTAGTTTTCTAAAAGCTTTATCATAAGAAGATTTTGAATTGTGTCAAATACTTTTTTCTGTATTTGTTGATATGATTGTATGGATTTTTCTTTCTTAGTTTTCTAATATTAGTAATTACAGTGATTGATTTTTGAATGTTGAACCAGCCTTGCATTCCTGGGAAAAGCCCTATGTGGTTGTAATTTATTCACCTCTTAAAATCTTAATTACACATGCTATTAGTTTGTTAAGGATTTTTAAAATTTTTATGTTCGCTGTGGATATTAGAGTTACTTGTAATGTCTTTGTCTGTTTTTTGTATCAGCATAATTCTGGCTTTATAAAACATGTTGCAACCATTGTTGCTTCTATTTTCTGGAAGATACTATGTATAATCAATCCTCTTGTGTGCGTGTGTGCGTACATGTGTGCGTGTGTGTGTGTGTGTGTGTGTGTGTCATAGGGTTTGAACTCTGGGCCTGGGCACTGTCCCACAGTTCTTCAGCTCAACGTTAGTGCTCTACCACTTGAGCCACAGTGCCACTTCTGGATTTTTCTGTTTATGTGGTGCTGAGGAATCAAACTCTGGTCCGCATGCATGTGAGGCAAGTGTTCTACCACTTTTCATAAAGATTTGATAAACTTTTCCTGGGAAATGTATATCTGTGTTATTAGAGATTTCAGATTCAAATTCAATTTCTTTGGGACATATAAATATAAATATATATATATGTGTGTAACTTTGGTTATTTCTTCTTGAGTGATCTTTGGTAGCTTTTGATTTTAAAGAAATTTACTTAAATTGTATAATTTATGGGCATAAAGTTATTCATAGTGTTCCCTTATGAACATTACGGTACCTGTAGATATTATAATACACAATTATACTATAAACCTTATAATACCTCTAGGATCTGTAATGATGTTTCCTTTTTAATTTCTGATACTGGTAGCTGTTTTTGTTTTTTTTTTAATGTTTTTAGTATCTTTAAGTAGTTGTACAAAGGTGATGTCATTTACCAAAGCATGAATTCAGTGCATCTTGGTTAATTTGGCCCCTGAGTACATAATCACCCACCCCTTCCCTTGCTTATCTTAAATTTTGGCTACATATTTTATTTTTTGCCTTTTAACAGACCAGTTTATGTTTACAATGTATCTTGATCTCTGTCATCACTTCAACATCTTCAACCCTCTTCCATCTACCTCTTCTCTTATATTTCTCAATTCTGTCCTATTTACAATGAATGTTTGTCAGCATTCTCCCATCTTCCCGCTTCATTCTTCTATCTCTCTCCCTTGGTCCCCACCGGCCCCTATTGCATGTACCCATTTCCTGGTACTAATTTTTTTGGCTTTGACTTGGTCTTTTTAAAAGACTTAGACAATTTACACTACATAGAATGTATTCTACTTCAGTTAATTCATTTGCAATCCCTGTTTACCAGCCAGTCTGTTTACTTATAGATTGATAGGTACAAAGTAACTACCACAAATAAGGAAAACAGCCATTGATAGGTACAATGTAGCTACTACAAATAAGGGGAAACAGCCAACCTATATTTCTCTGAATCTGCTTACTTGCAAGTCTTTCCATTTCCTACCAATAGTACAGTAAAGTTCTTTCTGATGGATGAGTAGAATTCCATTGTGTATATATACAGTCTACTTAGATTTTTTCCACATAAATATAAAATTTTGTTGAACATTAATATATTCACAAATATAAAACTTTTTATTATCTTTGAAGTACTAGATTTTTAAATTTTATTTTAGAGCATACCTTTGGGTAGTCAATACAATAGCATTTTTGCTGCTGCAAGAATGTCTATAGTTTACCATCATAGAATCCAATAATATTTTCATTGGCTGTAGAATTCTCAGTTGACTTTTCAGCTTTGCTTTTGTTTCTGTTTTGCCAGTTTCGAGGCTTGAACACAGGGCCTGAATGCTGTCCCTGAGTATTTTTTGCTTACGGCTAGCACTTTGCCACTGAGTCAGCTCTAATTCTGGCTTTTTGATGGTTAATTAGAAATAATTTCATGAACTTCCCTTCCCTGGCTAGCTTAAACTGTGATCCTTAGATCTAAGCCTCCTGAGTAGGTAGGATTATAGGCATGAGTCACCAGGACCAAGCCCAAACATTTTCTTTTATTAAAAAAACACCTTTAAGATATGTTCCATTGTATTTTGTTGTTCTCTGGGTTCTCCAATGAGATGGATAATTATTTAAGTTGTTCTGTATCTGATCATTTCTTTTTTCTGTTTTCAAGTTTTTCTGTGTCTACTTTTAAGTGGCTTGGCTAATGGCATATTTGTGCATGACTTTTTGTTTATATATCTTTTTTGAGATTGGCTGGTTACATCTATGAGTTCATATCATTCTCCAATTTTAGACATTTTTCACCTATCATCTCTTTCAAACTTTCTAATTTTTCATCATCTTCTGGCAATCCAGTGACACAAATGCCATTAAAAGTTTGGTATTTTCTAACCCGTCCTTAAGGCTCTAACTTAACTGTTATCCTAGGTACTTTTGTTCTTGGGATGAGATCATTTCTATCTTCAAGTTCAATACGTTGCCTTTCTGTTCTGGTATTGATTCTATTCAGTGCATATTTTAATCTTACATTATGTTTTCACTTCTAATATTTTTGTTTAGTTGTCATTCTAGTTTGGATTTCACTTCTGAGACAGCTATTTTATTCATTTAAATAGTGTTTACCTACTCCTCATGTAACATGAACCTCTGGTAATTCCAATATCTTGTTCATTCTGACATCTGTTGATTTTTCCCTTGAGAACTGCTCATATTTTCCTGTTTATTTGTAAGCCAAGTAATTTTATTTTAAATACTGATTAGTTTAAATACTGTGTTATGAAAGCCAAAGTTCTATTAAAAATCATCTAGATATTAGAGAAAACAGTTATAAGCAAGCAATGAACCAGGGTAGATTCAGACTATAACTTGTTTTATCATCTTATGGCAGTAGTGCCAATTTGTGTTTTCAAAGCTCTGGCTCTGCTGCTTTGGTTCTGCCTTATGCACGAACAGTATGACAGAACTTGAGGAATTCCCCTTTCTCATTTCTGGTTTGGGGAATCCATTTTCCTAGTACTTAGAATAACTAAACAAAGTTACTCTCAAGATTTTGCTGCATATGGCATTTATAAAATTCCTTTTAATGGAGCTAATCTTCAAAAAGAAGAGGATATAACAGAAAAATCACACCCATATGAGTTATTTCAACTTTTCATTTCCTTTCCCCAATATGCTTGCTTTTATTTATTTCTGAATCCTTAGATTATTACGTTTTAAATTTCATCCATACTTTTTAAAAAGTTGCAATTAGCCAAAATGAAAGATTATAAATATTGAAGCTTAGGTAGGTTGTCATTTTATGTTGTTAAGTAACTTGATACCTAAAATATCTGATACTCTAAATATAAAAGACTGGAAAGCATCTCTTTTGGATAAATAAAACAAGTAGTTTCATTATTCACTTGGATAGAACAAAATGGTTAAAACTACAATGCACAGAGACTTTTCTAAAAACAAAATTCTTTTGAATAATTTTGGAGTACTAAAATTATCTTACATTGATGTATCAAAGTAAAAATTAGTTAAATTGTGCAATATTCTCTTGAGTCAACTGATACTTTGAAGAAAGTAAAAAGAAGTAATTGGTCACTTTTATTCAGATGATTAAATTTGTGATTTTCCTTTGAAAAACTTGTGAAATTTTGGTTTATATTATTCATGTAGAAATATTGTATTTAGTGTTTTCATATGAAATGGTTGAATTTTGTTACATTATTTAAGGAAGTATGTTCAAGCATGTGTGTCTGTATTTGTTTATTTGAGACAAGATCTCATTGTATAGCCCAGGCAAGCTTGGAACTCACTGTGGAACCTAGTCTTAAACTAAAGTCTTAAACTTTCCACATTTAAGCTCTCTCTCTCATCAAGTACTAGGATTATAAGTATACGTTATCATGCCATCTTTGAGGGTTCTAGTTGTTAGGTTTTGTTTTTAACAAGTAATCCTATTTTAGTAAATAGGGTTAAAGTAAGAAGAAATAGAAAAGAGAAACATTTCTTGTTCTCTTAGAAGGAAAAGAAAGTTAAAAAACTGTTGAATTTTGTTTTGAAAAGAATATTTACTTCTAGATGCTGGTGGCTTACACCTGTAATCGTAGCTACTTTGGAGGCTCAGATCTGAGGAGCACAGTTTGAAGCTAGCTTGGGCAGAAAATCCCTGAGATACTTTTCCAATTAAACATCGAGCCAGAAGAGGAGCTGCGGCTAAAGTGGAGTTGTGCTCAAGCACGGTCTTGAGCTTAAAAGAAAAATAATATGTACTGAGTTTTTACTAAAAATGATCTGTGCTCCATTGTTCTATATGTATATATGTGTGTGTATGTATGTTCTATGTCTATATAGTGTAGATGTCAGAATAGTATACATTTATATGTACATGCACATATGTGTTTTAACTAATGAATAAACAATTTGAGATTCTTAGGAGACTATGTAATGATTTGTGTTTACTGCATGCCCTTATTATGTTGTTATAAAAAGATGATCTTAGAATGTAGGGTATTTTTTTCCTCAGAAGCATTTCAAATGGTATATTGCCACATTCATAGTACATTTTATCTTTACATGTAACAGTATTTTGGATCTTTGGTTCAAACTTGAGGTGTCTTATATTAAAGTCTGTGTTAAATTTATTGCTTACTTTGTCAGATAAAAATGATGTTATAAAATCAATAAACACATCCATCTTGAAGTGATTTAAAATTCCTCTTTAGTTGTTAGCATTAGCTACTTTTATAATTTTTTTGAAATTACTTCTTTCTCCTCTTTTAGGTGCTCTGTGGATGTGTATAGTTTTAAATCCCCATTGCAAGTTGGAACAGAAGACCAGCTGGCTAAAACAGCTGAAAAAGTGGAATGGCGTTGATGTTTGTCCGTGGGAAGATGGGAATCATGGCAGTGAATTGCCCAACTTAACCAATGCTCTGCCTCAGGGTGCAAATGCCAACCAAGGTGAGTCCATTGTAATCTTTGCTCAGCTGATATCCACATCTTTGTGTATGTATGTGTGTTTATAATGGTGATTGACAGTATATGTGGGGAAATGATTTTAACTACTTTAGAATTTGAACTGTCGTTCAAGAATTTAATACATTTTAACTTTGAATATATGTATGTGTTTTAACTGTGATATCTTGTATGCTTTAAAAAATTCTCAATCTATACAGATATAATATACATATTTATATGTGTGGAAGTGATCCACTTAATGATTTCATTTGAAGTTTTTAATTTAAAAATTATGGAGTTAGGGTAATAATATTTTATGAAACAAAGTACTAAAATGTTTGAGGAACAATGTTTTCATCTCTCTTGGTCAATTCATATTTGGGCTGCTGTTTAAGTTTAGAATATAGCAAAGAGATATTTTATCAGTAAATTGAGGAGCATGGGATGTTTGTGTTTGGACTGGGGGAATTCTTCATTTGAAAGTTTTATCTATTATACTTGTTCCTACCTACAACTGGCAAATAGTGCCCTTCATTCTCTGAGACAACCCAGAAATCTTCCTACATGTTTCTAAAAGAACCTCTATCATTTCTATGTTGTTTTTTCTTTCCTTCAGTTTCTCTTTCTCTATTGGATTTATCCATTTAGTTTAAGTTCCCTCCATCTTTAAAAATACTTCCTTGGCATCATATTTCTTTCTATTTAGAATATTCTTTCTTGAAATTAAATTCTTAACTAGTTAGCTCTTACAAATACAGTTTTATCCAATTCATTCCACTGTTTTTTGTATGATTTTGTGCCTTTTTTTGGGGAATCAGAGGAATTGGAGACAAATTTAAAGTCATAATAGAAGTGAAGTAGGATTTAAATGACATTTAGAGCATCTAGGATCAAGACTATTTATTTTCTCTGTATTGGACACATACGGCATTGATATTACAAAAAGTGGCTGTGCAATGCACTGAGTTTGAGTGGAATATTAATAGACAGTATCTATGAAGAAAGAAAATTATTATTCCATATAGTAGTCCATTAAAAAAGTTTTAGGACTTGGGAAATAAATGTTTAGCTCTTGTTTTTCTAAAATCATTTGAAAATTCCATTCTGTCTTTATTGCTCAAGAGGATTTTATTCAGTATTTTAAGAAAAAATTAATGTGCTTCTCATCCCCCCTCCCTCCAATTATTTTTTTCCTATATGCTTAGAATTTTCAACTTAAACTGTTGAGTATTTATTCTCTTCCTTTTCCAGGGAAGGGTTTGCTCTTATCTACACAGGCAGTAGCATACTTCTGGTTTTTATACTTGGTAGTTTTTTGTGTGTTTCATTTCCCACTGATTCTTTAGGACTGACATTTTGGTATATTATACTTTTCTACTAACTACTTACTGTATTACCTTTGATTAAATACAGACATTCCATAAACCTTATTAGGAAGCTGTTAAGAAGTGACCCAACCTCAGAGACGCCACAGTTTATTTTACTTACAGTTTGGTCAAGGCAGTATAAATTTAAGTCCTAGTTTCTGAAAGTAGGAATTCATAGGTATTGTGCTTAAGTACACCAGGGTACCAGCTTTTAGCATAACACCTACTGCCTTCTGAGGGGCTATCAGAAAAGACATCCCTAGAGATGGTGCCAGCATCTCTGCAGTGAGCCTGCTGCTGAATCAAGAAATCAGGCATTACAACTGGACTAAGTATACAAATGGGCAGATCTCAAGCAGTACTTTCATGTATTTGCAAATTAGAGTGAATGTGATAGGTTTATGAAGCCCTACCTTTATTGAGGCAAATTGTAAGAATGAACTTTGAAAGTAGTGTTGGTTTTTTTTTGTTTGTTTTTTTTTTTTTTTGTCGGTCGTGGGGCTCGAACTCTGGGCCTGGGCACTGTCCCTCAGCTCTTCAGCTCAAGGCTACTGCTCTACCACTTGAGCCACAGCGCCACTTCTGAAAGTAGTTCTTTATGTATACATACATATGTATACCAGAATGACAGCAAATTTAAATTTTTATAAATAAATTAGAATTTTCCCTTTTCTGTATTAATTTGGGGGGTGGGGCGGGTGGGACTGGTTCTGGGCTTGAACTCAGGGTCTGGGTACTTCCCCTAAACATTTTTTGTTCAAGGCTAGCACACTACCACTTGAGCCACAGCTCACTTCTGGTTGTTTTGGTGTGTGTGTGTGTGTGTGTGTGTGTGTGTGTGTGTTGGTAATTTACTGGAGATAGGAATCCCATGGACTTTCCTGCCAGCGCACAGATCTTAGCCTTCTGAGGAGACAGGATTCTAGGTGTGAGCCACCTGCACTCTCTTTTTGCTTTTCATAACTTCTCAAGGTTAATATTGCATACACTTTATTTTTAAACCTCTTAAAAATTTGAAGCTAGATTGCTTAAGTTGTAATGCCCTGGGTTCAAACCTAAGTAGTATCACAAAAATTATTACAATTTTTTTGTATTTATCATTCAAAATTTTAGTCATGACAGTCTATTTCTCTTGTTTTTTCAGACCTATAGCAGAAACTGAATGAGTAGACATTAAGGTAAAAGTTGATCATAGCCGGGTGTCGGTGGCTCACACCTATAATCTTAGATACTCAGGAAGCTGAGATCCTAGAACCATGGTTAGAAGCTAGCCTGGGCAGGAATGTCTACACAACTCTTATCTCCAATTAATCACAGAAAAAGCTGAAAGTGGCTCTGTGGCTCAAGTGGTAGAGTGTTAGCCTTGAAGAAAAAGAGCTCAGGAGACAGTGCCGAGGCCCTTAGTTCAGTCCTGAGGACCAGCTTTAAAAATGGTTGATAATATTTTTGAGATCTAATCAGAATACATTTCCAATTGTACATTTTTGTGTGCTGATAACAGGGGCTTGAACTTGGGCTTTTATGCTTTGTTCATAACTGGTACTGTACTACTTGAGCCATGCCTCTAGTCCAACCTTTTTGCTGGTTCATTAACAATAGAGTCTCTTGGACTTTCTGGCTTCAAAGTACTATCCTCACATCTCAGTTTCTTAAGTACGTAGGACTACAGATGTGAGCCATCAATATCTAGCAACTGTACATCTTTAAAAATTGTGTTTCTTATTTTCAGATATTTTCAATTAAATATCATTCATGAGAATTTGAGGGTTTTTTGTTACTGTTGGTGCTCTTGTTCTCTTAGAGTTAACCATTGTTTAAAACCTCTGCATGCCTTTTTGTTTCTGTGTGCTACCAGAGTCACATGTAAACATGTGAACATTTCATTTTTTTTTCACTTTGTTCATGGAATAAGACTACAGCTTGCTTTTATTTAATAGTATCACAGATAGTGAACCAAATCAACATGTAGAACTCATTCTTTTAATAAATGCACAATACTAGGGTGCTATTTAAATTCTCTGTAGATATAAAATTTAGTATTTAAACTAAACAAAACTAATGAGATGACAAAACCACTTAAAATTATTTATGTGAGACTTGATTGATTGTAAGAGATCATATAATCAATTCCTTTCTGGGTATAGGCATATTTTTTCTGCTTAACAAAAAATCCTACTAGATTAAAAAAGCAGTAAAAGGTGGGGCATATCCTTTCCATTCTGCCTTGTATACAGGTGCTAATTCTAGTAAGGACTACATCATTATTTATGCCTCTTAAACTATCTGTAATCCATAGGTTTTGTTATGTCTGCCATCAAGATGCAGACATTAGAGCTGAGATAATACCGCTGTCATACTCTCTAGAAAGCCCAATGACTGCAACAACCTCACCTTTGTATACTGTTGTAAACCTAAAATCTTAAACAATGAAGATAAGAGTGATCAATAATTTTTTGTTGAAGCAGAAAGTTCCTAGGTATAATGGTGCAGTGCCCAAGTTAGTTTCTTCCTTCTAGGAGCTTACAGGGTTCTGCTATTATTTTCTCTGGAATTAAGAGAAACAGAAAAAGTAACAAGCACTTAGAGAGCAATAGGCCCAGTAACAAAGATAGCAAATAAAGATGTTTCAAGATTTTTTTTCCAAAAAAGACTTTGTTTAAAGCCTTTCTGATTAGTGGAATTTATAGGAAGTATGTCTGTGTTTTGACTCTGAAAGCTACTACTGGCTCTGTGAGCTGGCAAGTAACTTTATCATACTCTTTGCTTCTACCAGCAGAATAAAGAGACTGGACCACGTGAATTTTCCAGTCTCAGTTCACTTTTTTTTTAAATTTTAATTTTAATTTTTTGTGAACATACTGTACAGAGGGGTTACAATTACATGGGCAAGATAATGAGTACATTTCTTATCAAGCATTGCAGCCTCCTCCTTTGTTTCCCCTTCCCATCCCTTCCCTCCACCTCGCCCAATCCTCCCCGCTCCCCCTGCCCCCCCCACCAAAGTTGTAAAGTTCGCTTTCTACATAACGACTTGTACATCTCATTGTTGCAATGGGTCCACCTGTATCCCTATTTAAATGATTTGTTTTTTCCCTTCCCCTCCACAAATTATAGCGACATCAAATACAATGAAAGCCCGGGTTATACTGTGGGGGAGGGACATACAAAGCAACAAAGAAATAATCTTATAAATGTGTTAGAAACAATCGAATGAAAGAAAAAAAAAATCTGAAGAGCTGAGGGACAGAGCTCAGGCCCAGAGTTCAAGGCCCATGGCTGACCAAAAAAAAAAGCTACTGGATTTTGACATTTGATGAACCATCAACTGACAAGAGCACATTTCTTTTTATCTTTATTTATTGATCTTCTCAATTTTGAATAATTATAAAAGTATATTCCATACTTAATGGACTTATCAGATTGCAAAATGTATATGCTTTATCTGGTTATAAATTTCTTGTTCATCTTTAGGTATAAATTTTATTTTTATGTTTCTTTAGTTGGTTTGATTAGTTTTTCCTCTCTGATTTTACTTTTAATTAAGAATAATCTTAGTTACTATTCAGCTTTTTTTCTTGGTTATGTTTTAATCCTTTGGTATTATATATTAAAAGTTGTTGAAATATACTGGAGTTTGGAAGTAGTAGTTTATCCTAAATTTTAGTGCCTTTGTTATTGGAAGTACTATGAATATTAAATAGCACTTTTATACAGTTTATAATTTAAAACAAAGAAAAAGGAGCTCAGTGGGATCAGAATATAAATAGCCTTGATACATGATTACTGTTGGGTTCTTTTTTTCTTTACTTCATTACCAGTGTTTGAAAGATACATTGAAAGACCCTATAGAAAATTTTTTTGAAATCCTTCTCTTTCTAAACTCACATACTCACAAATTCATTGGCCAAAGGTTTTTTTATTTCTGAATAATACAAAGTATTGTATTCAAGCTAGAGAAAATAATGACACATTTTGAAATGTAAAAAGAATTTGCTCATGGTAATCACTTGATTTTTAAATCCATAAATGTTGCTAAGAATTGCTGGCTTTTAAAATTCATTTAGTGAAAACGTTGTAATATCTAAGAAATAAATGCAAAGTATAAAATGTTATTTAGAATGAAATATGCATGTTAGGTTAGAGTACTGTAATTTTCTTTGAGATCATTCTGCTGACTTAGATGTAGGCCATTTCTTAGATCATTTCTCTTTTATCCTTCAACCTTCATTTCAGACTTTTTTCTCTGTGTCACTATCTCTGTCTGTCCTCTCTCTGACAATACTGAGGTTTGAGCTCAAGGAGACCCTTGAGCTTGTGCTAAACAAGTGCTCTATCACTTGAGCCACTCTACCAGTACTTTTTTTGGTGGTCATAGGGCTTGAACTCTGGGCCTGGGAGCTGTCCCTTAGCTTTTCAGCTCAAGGCCAGCAATCTACCACTTGAGCCACAGCGCCACTTCTGATTTTCCAGTAGCTAATTGGAGATGAGGCTCATGGACTTTCCTGCCTGAGCTGACTTTGAACCAGCAGCCTCCTGAGTAGCTAGGATTATTGGCGTGAGCCACCGGCATCTAGCTTACCAGCCCTTTTTTGTGTTGGTTATTTTCAAGATAGGATCTTCTTTATGCCTAGACCAACCTGGACTGCGACCCTCCTGTTTGGTATATATCATCGTAATTCATATATATCCTCCTATAGTGGTATATGCATACCATTATACCTGTCATTGTTTAGGATGGATGAAGTCTTTCTAACTTTTATGACTAGAGTTGCCTCATACTGTGAATATCTGATCTTTGCCTCCAAAGAGCTAGGATTGAACGCCTGAGCCACCATGCCCAGTTCAGCTTATTCTTCAGTATTACTATGAATTATAACTGTGTCATTCCTTGACTTTTTGTTACTGTTTGTCCATATTTAAAGACTACAGTTTTATAGTTATTATAAGTCCAAGGTGACATAACTGTTGTTAATGGATCAAGATAAAGGAAATGTAGTGTCTCAATATTTTCCATACTATTTGATATAACTTATTAGCTTATTCATTTTGAAGAAACAAAACAAAAACAGTTTTTTCTCTTTCTGATTTATATCTTCCATTTCTTCAGTTTCCATCACTTGACAATAGATTTGTTGGTGTAACCACAGCACTTCCCTTAGCCATAGACACATATGTATTACCAAACATACATATTTAGCTGTTTATACAATTAGTGCTCTTGTTTCTTTTTCTCACGCATGTGAGAGCAAGTCACGTAAACCAAAGTGAAGTGCCTTTCTGAGGTCTCTAGAACACAGATAAATTTTAATACATTATACCAACCCATTTTTCAGGTTTATATATTGATGATAATTCAAAATGAGAGGAAATCTTGAAACTATGGAATGATTCTTTTGCTAGTTATAAGTTAATTTTTCTACATATACTTTTTCTTGTCCATATCAATTTTATATTTTTAAGAAGAACCTATTGTTATTTTAGTAAATATATCTTAAAACATTTACAGCTTTTTTTCCCCTCAGTACTCCATATTGAAACTTGAAAGTGCTAACATTCTGTGAAGGAAATGAAAAGAATATTTCCTTCCAAATATATTATCTTCTGCTGTTATTCACATTTGTGGCTACAGAAATCCTCTCCTAAATTATAGATCCACAGTAAACAAGACTGCTTTAAAATGACAGGAATCTAACTTAATGCTATTTATATGAAAGTCCAAGACTAATCCAGGCTGTAGCTGCTCTCAAGTCTTCAGTTTAGATGACACAGAGTGCTGACTTGTAGAGATGGTATCATAACATATTTGTAGAGTTAGCCAACTTGGTTTTCTAGGGACTTCTTTATCTGTCCTAGTGCTGCTCCTAATGAAGCATTTGGATGGAGGAGAGCCAGGGAGAATGTCCCTAGTCTCTCAGAAGAAAATTCACAATTATTTTCCTCATATAACATGATTTATAACTTGAATAGTATGTCAGCTCAACACATTGGACACATAAGTTAAATAGATATTTAAGAGCCATCCTGGGAATGTAGTACCATTTATTTTGATGTACATATTGAACCTTTAGAATAGATCGGAAGAAGGGAGACTATAGTGGCCTTGGATTGATTTATTTTAATTAAAGGGACATTTACATATTCATTACTCATTTTTAGGGTGCTGTTATAAATTGGTAAAGCCTGCTTTACGCCCCTGCAGCTCTTCTTTCATCTCCCTTTCCCCACCTCTCAATTCATTTTTTTATACAGAGCTACCCCATAAAAGCATAACCTCAATAACCAATCTGGAAGGCTGGGTTGGACATCCCCTAGACCCTGTGGGCACGCTCTTCAGTAGCCTCATGGAAGCCTGCCACACTGATGATGAAAACTTCTCTGGGTTCTCTGATTTTACAGGTAAAGCCATTGACATTGGCCTGATGTTTTTGTTTGTAGTATATTTTATAAAGTCATGTAGTTCATAGTCTGTATGCTTACCAAAGAGAACTAGGAAATAGGCACTATTGCTTTTCAGGAAGGTTTCCCCAGACTGGAAGATTCGGAAAAGCCAACAGTTAGAGCAGTCTGTGTCAAGAATCTTGAACATACAATTTTCTGACCAATGATTCTACATCTAAGAATTTATCTATCTGCATTTACGACTATAAGATTAAAATAAAGATTCCAAAGTAAAGTGTTTATAACTAGAAAATTCAGTTTGGTTGCACTTTAAGTTTATGTTCTCATTAAAAGTTAGTTAAATGTTTTAAGTCTATTTTAAGAGGAGTAATAGGTGACAACTAAATCCGTTGTGTATCACACATTCCGTTGAAATAGTATTTTGAAATTTCTCTATGACCTCTGGAGAATCCAGAATCATTCTGTCAAAGATTACCCAAGGGCAGTGAGTGGAGTAATGGAATAAGGATTGTCCCATTGTTAAGGAGGAGGAAGGGCTCTGGAGGTTCTTTGTCTTGTCTATCATTGTTTTCCCTGGGGTGGTTGCCTTCATGGGTTAGAGATGATCCAAACTCAGCCAAGATGGTGTGAGTCTCACATATAAATTGACTAAAGAATGTTACACTTGGTCTGGAATTGTGGCTTAGTGGCAGAATGCTTGTCTAGCATGCATAAAGCCCTGGATTCGATTCCTCAGTACCACATAAATAATAAAGGCCAGAGTGGCACTGTGGCTCAAGTGGTAGAGCACCGAGAGGCTCTGGGACAGAGCCCAGGCCCTGAGTTCAAGCCCCAGGACTTGCAAAAAAGAAAAAGAAAAAAGAAAATAAAAAAAGAATATCAATACTTAAGGGAGGAGTCCAGTTGTTTAACTCTTCTGAACAACTAAAGAACTGTTGAACAAAATGAATACCAGGAAGAGGAAATATTTTCCAGGGCTAAGTATCAGCAAAAGATTGGGGTATAGGAAGGAAAGAGGAGGGGTAAGTAAGCAAATGCAATCATTGTATTCCATGCACCTTACATAAAAATTGAACTAGGTAACTTAAGGGTAGGGATTGGAAGGGGGGAAATGGGGAAGAATAATGGAGAGGGTGATAGTGATCAGGGTGTACATTGAAACTCTTTGTACAACTACTTACTAATTTAAAAACAGGGCTAGGAAGGTGGCTCAGTGGTAGAGTGCTTGCCTTCATGCATGAGGCCCTGGGTTCGATTCCTTGGCATCGCATAAGCAGAAAAGGCCAGAAGTGGCACTGTGGCTCATGTGGTAGAGCACTAGCCTTGAGCTGAAGAGCTGAGGGACAGTGCCCAGGCCCAGAGTTCAGGCCCCATGACTGACAAAAAACAAAAACAAAAAAGCAAAAAACAAAGAGAGTATGAGTCTGAATTCACATTCTTTAGAGTTTGGATGGGAGAAGTTTACAATTTCTAATAGAAGCACTTTTGAAGAATCATCCCTCTAGTGATAACAGATGTCTTTCACAAAAAAGGACCTTAAAATTGGGTTACATATGTTATGTTTGGAGATATTTTTATTACAAATTTCAACATTGTAATCACAGTATGGAAACATTTTTAATGCTAGTATTATAACCATGAAAATTTAAGTTAATTTTAATTAGCATACATAAATCACACAAAATAGTTATATTATGAAATTTTCATAACATAATATAATTTTGTTTAATATCTGTTTTCACTCTTCGGGAATCTTATTGTCTTACTTTCTTTGTTGAGTCCTTTGTTGGGAAAAATATTTCTAGGTAGATATTTCATAAAATATACATTTAATACATGTTTATTACAAAATATACATTTAGCCATTAATGGTTACTTTTGCAAGATAATAGAAGAACTGTATTATAACATAAGAATTATATTTTCTGTCTTTCTCATAATGAAGTCAATAATTCATAGATTATAGAACTGGGAGGCATAAATATTTGTAACTGTCAAAGTTCCTGCAAAAGTAGTGTGTAACACTGCTTTTCTTTTGGGACATTTTTACAGAGAATATGGGCCAGTGCAAGTCTCTGGAATACCAGCATCTCCCTGCACACAAGTTTTTAGAGGAAGGGGAATCCTATGTCACCCTGGCTGTGGAAGTAGCCCTGATAGGTCTGGGACAACAGCGTATTATGCCTGATGGGCTGTACACACAAGAGAAAGTCTGCCGGAATGAGGAGCAGCTCATTTCTAAGCTTCAGGAAATTGAATTGGATGATACACTGGTGAAAATTTTTCGCAAACAAGCAGTCTTCCTATTAGAAGGTAGTTTGATAAAGAGGTTTTCCACTTAGCCAGTTTGCTAATCTTTCTGTTACAGGTACTGTTTCAATGAATTTAGCATGGTAGTCGTCCTGATTTTTGTGATTATGTAATGTCAAAGATGCTCAGTGTCTAAAAATTCAGTGTTACCAAATTAAAAGCACAGAAGTTATATTTATGTTATTGATTTAAATTGTGATATAAGATAGCCTGCTAGAAATTAGTCTCATTTAATGCCCCTGGCTTTGTAAAGATCTGTTTTTATTTAGCCTGTATAATTCCTGAGATAAATGCAGTTTTGGTATGTAGTAAGTTACCACTGGTAGCCATACTCCTATTTACTAGATGAGTTAAATAATAACAGAAATTGGTTACCATTTCTTCAGATTTTTGGCTGTTAAGTGGCAATTCACTGGAGTGAATTGTTCTAATTATCCACAAGATTTATTAAGTATAGATTCACCAAGGAAAAGATGGTGTCACATTTCTAGAGCAAAGTCTAAAACTTCCTTATATTATGAGGCCAACGTTTAAAAGGCCTACCAAATTTTGGCTGGCACTAGTTTTTAAAGTGTAGTGTCTGTTTTATACCTCAAACTGTTTCATAGAGAAGGGCTCTAGAAAAAATAGCATTTTAAAGCCTCTTTAGTTTATCCAAAGTAATAGATCTCGTTGGAAGATAGAGTTTTATTAAAATACCACATACATGTTTTTTTTAAAAAGTTATTGTGAAAGTGATGTTACATTTATATGTCATAGAAAAGCATTTGAAACGAGACTGTTCTTAATAGAATTATCCATTTTGGTATAAATTCCCATTTTATCTTTTTGAAGTATTCCTACAATTCTCTTTTTTTTCTAAACATAAAGACCCTATATTGGCAAATTGTAAGATTGATTTTGATTAATTACTTTTTCTTTCAGTTTCTTTCAATTTTCCTTTAAATATATAAGCCACTTAATCTTTTTTTTCTGGTCCTGGGGCTTGAGCCCCAGACTGTCCCAGGATAACTGTCCTGAAGGATAACACTATACCCCATAACTCCATGACTCTATGAGCGATAGCTCCACTTCTAGCCTTTTGGTGGTTAGGGATAAGAGTGTTAGGGGTTTTCCTGTCTGGTCTGGCTTCAAGCTGCAACCTCTTGAGTAGCTACAATTACAAGTGTGAGCAACCCTGGCACCAACCAGTCTTTTAACGCTGTCACTGACTATACTGACTTTTGATTTCCAATACCTTGAAGTTTAGGAAGATGTAGTTGATAGTGTTTGATACTTGTTTATTATTTACCTTTCTAAATATTTCTCCATGAATTTTTTAAACTTTGTCTTAGTCTCTAGTTAGTCTGTCCTTCTCATCAAGCAATTTTTACAACTGTGCCAGAAAAGGAGTTGTGTTGACTCATCTCTGCCTCCTTCCCTTTGTTGGCCCTGCATAGCCCACCAAGAATAGACAGGACAGGACAGAAGGCAGTCCATGAGAAGGTCAAGGGACCATTTATCTAAAAGATGCAAGCTTCTTAAGTGTATTGACTACACCCCAGGGTATGATGTTCCCTTTTTGTGTATGTTCTTTACAAATTTCATAAGTAAATTAGTCAGCAGATCACAACATCTTAAGAAGAGGGAGTAGTAACTCCAGGTTATTGCTGAATTTTAATCTCTCCTGGCCTAGGTCATGGGATGAATTAGTTAGCCATATTAGGAAAGTGCCTCTGAGGAAACTTAGTGCCAATAACCAGATTTTGTTACTCAGTACTCCTGAGTTTAAAGTTTACAGTCATCAACAGTTTACAAATAATTCAGTGATGCATGACTGTGAACATTTGTTTTCTTGCTGGAGGATGTCATAATAAAGTATTGATGAAGTTTCCTGGATTTCCTGAATTAGTGTAGAAAGGTAACATGTTTTAACAAGAAACCTTGAAAAGGAAAGGGAGAAATGAAGAAGATGGGTAATCTAAAAATGTGAATGGTCCTTAATAAAATAGAACTAGTGTCCTAGACAGCAATACCATTATAACAAAATTCAGTAGTTTGATGACATAAACAAAAATTTATTTCACACAGTTTTGAAGACTAAAGTCCAAGATCAAGTACTGGTCAGTTTTACTGCTTCAGAGGGCCCTGCTTTCTGGCTTAAAGACAGGCACATTCTTCCTGTGTTCCCACATGACACAGAGCTACCTCTCTGTTAACTCCTCTTATAAAGGCCCTCATCCATTTGGATCAGTGCCTTGCTCTTTTGAACTTACTTAAATGTTTTTACTTTTATAAAGTATCTTCTTCAAATATAGGCACCTTAGGGTCTGGGGCTTCAGTGAGTCTGGGGAAGAGATACAGATGTAATTTACCACGTTAACTTACATAATACAGTCTAGCTATGGGAACAGAAGATGCAAGCAAAATGATACATCAGGTTTTGAAGAATATCAGATTACTAAAGCATTTAGAAGGGTCTTCGAATAAGAGAAAAATGAGTGAATTTGGTAAAAATGCAGATTTAGAATGGGTTTTAGTTTGTGAAAAGAATGAGTTGTTTATATGATTTTCAAAGTACTTACTTAAATAGTGAATAATTTGATAATACTGACCAAAAAATTGAATTACAGAATAATTTCCATAAAATGATCCTGCCTTTTTTTTCCAGCTCAGTAACTTCCCTCACCATTTCTTCTGAACTGGATTTCTTACATTCTAAGCTCTTCACTAGACTGATTTTTTTCATGGAAAACAAATGTATTATGTTCTCTGAGCAGTAGTGTCATGGTTCATAATTCTAGAAATCATGAAACAGATGTTACCCAAAGGTGACATGGAAACTAATTTATTAAACACTTTATAGTAACTAAACCACAGAGTATCTAAACACAAAGTGGTTGGACTAACCACTGTGGTTTCCTTTTAGAATTTATTTTAAAAAGTCTTTGTTTCACAGTCTGTGCTGTATTCAGAAGTACACAGGAGAGGCTGGCCCTGCCACTATGCCTGTCAAAATTTACTAAGAAATGAATTTTGACAGCCTAAATATAATTTGCTTTTACAATTGGGCTTCTAAAGCCCAAAGAGTAGCGAGTAGTAGATTTCATTTATTTTCATTTCTTTTCTTTGCCTGTGGTGAGTATCAAATGAGTAACTATTAATCCCACTTTATGGGATTAATACCTACCTCTGCTTATTAAAACTAATAATATATAAAATCTTGATACTGAGAGTAATGGTTCAGTCTTCCCACAAATCTCATCCTAAGACAGAGCACTTCCTTTTCCAGAACCGTGGCCCTAAGACTGCTTGGGTCCGGCTTCAGGGTCCATAGTTAAGTAGTTACCTGTGCATTCATTTACTTATCTGGATGCTCAGTTGTGAAACACTGAGAACGGATGTTCCTCAAGTCCCTTCTTTGAAACACTTGTGAAAGAACTGTCCCTTAGCTTGGTGTCGCATTCATCTGTGAGACAATTTGAGAATTGAAGAAATAAGATCTGCATTGGATATTCTACCCTGTAAAATCTTTTTGAGCAAGATTTTTTTTTCCTTTCTAGTGTCTTATGGTTAAATTACCTCGCTAGATTAGCTTGTGTGTACTATAACTTCAAATTTAAATATATTTTAAATTTTAAAATTTTAAATTTTAAAAATTTAAATATATTTTAAAAGAACTGTTAGTTCATTCTTTAGGAATGTAAAGTGTATATGCTTTCTTCCCACAGCTGGACCATATAGTGGTTTAGGCGAAATAATCCATCGGGAGAGTGTTCCAATGCACACATTTGCCAAGTATCTCTTCACCTCTCTCCTACCTCATGATGCTGAATTGGCATACAAAATTGCACTGAGAGCAATGCGGTACGTATTCACAGCCCAGCTGGGCAGAAACCATCCAGATTTTCCACTGGGAAAAAAATGGCTATCAACTGACTTCACATTCATTCATATTCTACAGAAAAGCAAAAGATAATATTGTTTATGTAGTTATGTTTCCTGGATTGTCGTGGAAGTGATTTGTTTTGTTGGATTGTTTTGATACTGTTTTAAAGTAAGCATATATGTTTTTTTCCTAATCATCATGGCTTTCCTACATTTTTTTCTTAGAGTTAGAATTTGAGACTAGAGTTGCAGATTGTACAAGACAGTCTTCCTGAATATTCTACCAGTCACCTTGTTCTTACATTCCCTTTCAAGTTTCCTAAACATTTGTTTTTAATCGCCTATTTATTCACATTGAATAGTTTTCAATGAGCTTAAGATTTTTTTATCTTCTTAAACTGAAAGGACTTTTGAGAGAACATCTACCTTTAAAAACTCAGCCCTTTCTGTTTATCTTTTTTAAAAAAATTAATGAAACAGTCTGTTTCTCATGGAAAGTAAAGATTAGACACCATTATAAGTTAACTAAACAATTCCCTAAAGTTTGAATATGTTGAAGTAGTTTGGTCCCATGAGAAAAAGGTTGTATCAGTCTATCAATCTATGATCACGATCATCACAAGATTCAAAAACAGATTCTTGCTTAAAAATTTACCAATGCTGCCAAAGTTACTATGTTCATAAAGTATTGAGAGCAGTGTTCTTAAAGTATTGAGCTTACAGCTGTCTCATATTTGTGCAGCAGTGAGGCGAGTATGTGTGTGTTTGTGTTTGTGTCCATATACTTGAGTGTGAGTTTTAAGGATTACCTCCTTTAAAATGCTTTGCTCAGCAACATGAACTTTGTAATAGTCTATCATATTGATGGACTTCTTGAAGTTTTGTCTAATCATGGTCAAAGAATAATAAATTTTTAACGAGGTGCCAGTGGCTCATGCCTATAATCCTAGCTACTCAGGAGGCTGAGATCTGAGGATCATGGTTCAAAGCTAGCCTCGGCAGGAAAGTTTGTGAGACTCTCATTTCTAATTAGCCACAGAAAAACCAAAAGTGGTACTGTGGCTAAAGTGGTAGAGTGCTTTCCTTGAGCTGAAGAGCTCAGGGACAGCACCCAGGCCCAGAATTCAAACCCTATGACTAATAATAATAATAATAATAGTAATACATTTTTAAAATCAAAAGAAACTTCAGAAACAAAGTAAATAGATTATCACATGCACATTATTCAGCTCAGGTGATTATGGATATGTTCTCAGTCTTACACTATTATCCATTTTATGTTTAAGTTGTGTGATATGCTGGTTCCCTTCCCTTAGCTTTGTAAACATAATCCTCTCCAAAAACATATAGTGGCCAAATGGAAGTAAAAAGTAATATGTTTAGTTAATAAAGTAAAAAATTTAGATTTGTTGAGAGGCATCTTATCTTTGTGGAAGTTTGGCAACAAAACAAGCATTGTGCTGAGCACTGAACTCTAATGCATCCTGTGAATGCAGTTTTTTCTCAATAGTAGTTGGTCTCCTTGGAACCATGCACCCATAGGTACCAAGGGTCCAATGTAGTGTATTTGAGAAACCTTATAAAGTATGCGCTTGTCTATTTTTAAAGTATGAAAAATATCAAAAGCCTCCTATCTAATCTCTTTATACCCATTGGTTTGTATTTTAATGAACATTTTTATAGTAGATTCCTATTTCCATTTTTGGAATCCTGAAATAGAAATTGTCTTATGGAGACAGATGCTCAGCTCTATATTTATTCTAATCCTAAGAACTCTACTCTTGTCTTAAAAGGAAGGATGTTAATGTTATGTGCTACCAGATGCTGCTACTACTACCACTACAAAAATTTAAGGGTGAATTAGTATCAGATAAAGTTTAAGGGTAAAATAGCATTCATTTTCTGTGTGATTCTGGCTTATATAACAATATCTGCCAGGAAGAAAAGTTTGCTGTTCTAAAGAATTCTTGGCAGCTCATTTCTATTCTCTTCTTGTTTCCCTGGCAGTTCCTTCATGGGTAATAATATCAGGGTATGAGAAAATTGTTTCCACCTTTCTCTTCTACATGCCCAGCCAAAGGCCTGCCAGAGCATTTCAAAGCAGCAGAGAAAAAGGAAGGAAAAGAAAGTTTGGTTGCTTCTTAGTCCTTCTGGAAGGTGGATGCTGAGGAAGAGCATCTTCAACACGTACTTTTTCATCTTCCCTAAGCTGTTTGCCAATTTTCTCTAAAACATCTTTAGCGAGATCTGCCTATAATAACTGCTTCAGGAATAGAGTTTTTTTTCCTTTTAATCTAAATAGCAACCTTTCCAGAATTCTTATTTCTGAATCGCCTACCTGCCACCCTTTCTAATGCTAACATATCTTTGACCTAGAGAAAAGAATGAGAAAAGGTGAGTGATGTCTGGAAGCTGGCATCACTCCCTGACTGTACTATAATTCTTGATCCCAGTATCTTACTCAATAGTCCCTAATGGTGGTGGACTTGAGTGAAGGCCAGTATTTGATTATCATTAAGAAACTATTTCAGTTGTACCTACTCTACTGATCTTTTTAATACTCGATATTCATAAGAGATTACTAAGTATGCATTTCTTTTTTAAGAATTTTTTATCAACATATTCTTGATCAAAAATAGATTCAAATCAGAAATGCACTAAATTTGGAAAACTGTCACAGGATAGATAAGTTAGTTCAGTTGCATTTATCTTCTCTGATATATTTATAGAACAAATTATAACTTCAGATTTCTGAAGTCAAAGGAAATAATTCTGAAGGAAATAATATGTGTGAAAAATAGGTCATTTTTGTTTTACTTTACCTCTTATTTTATGATTAATAAATTAAGTTTTTTCATCTTCTGGTATCTGACTGTTGTAATCTCAGTATTAAGTCTGCATTTTACTATGAGTTTTTGTTGATTCTTATTTTTTAATATGATTTCTTGATAGTAGATGATCATCAAAACTTGTGTTTCAAAATTCTTCAGTGTGACATGTTTTAATTTCCTTGAATATTTCAGTTTACTGAATGATGCTAAATTAAAACATCTCTTAGGCACCGGAGGCTCATGCCTATAATCCTAGCTACTCAGGAGACTGAAATCTGTGGATCATGGTTCAAAGCCAGCCAAAGTTCATGGGACTCTTATCTCCAATTAATGTCACCAGAAAGCCAGAACTAGAGCTGGTGGCATAAAGCTGTAGAGTGCTAGCCTTGAGCAGAAGAGCTCAGGGACAGTGCAAAGGCTCTGAGTTCAAATCCCACAACCCCCAAATCTCTTAGGTTTGAGCAGCAAGCACTTAATATGGTGACTTGGCATCCAAACAGCAAAGAATAGCTGTGCCAGCTTTTCCTAAACCAGGAGTCTCAATGGTTTCCTTCAACAACTACCCATTCCTCTGATTTCTGCTGGCTAATTATTATGGCCAGAGTAATGGACAAGTAATGACTAAAGGCCATCTTCTTTGTCTTCTCATTACAGGTTACTAGTATTGGAATCTACTGCTCCAACAGGGGACCTCACTCGCCCACACCACATTGCATCAGTTGTTCCTAATCGATATCCTCGTTGGTTCACTCTCAGCCACATTGAATCCCAGCAGTGTGAGCTGGCATCTACCATGCTAACTGCAGCCAAAGGTACAGTACTGTCCTGAGTCCTCATAATTCTGTTCACTACTTCCCCCCAAAGGGTCATGGTTTTTATATTGTTGTTTGTTGCTTTTTAGTGTTTTCTTTTTTAACACATGTTTCAGTACTAGTTTAGTGTTAGATAAGGTATATGGGAACCTTTGCTTTAGATGTTAGTTTCATATTTTATTCATGAGGCAAAACTTTTGAGTCTAGCATTTTCCTCATTTACTTGTGTCATTAAAGTTACTGTCAGGCGAATTCAGTTTAGTTTCCATGCCCAAAAAATGGCAAACGGTTGAGATTTAGAAATAGATGAAAAGATTTGGTTAGTGTTGTTGTTGTCGTATTGTTGTTGTTGTTGTTCTCCTTAACATAACACCAAAATGCACAAAGAGAAACTAGGAGAGCTGTTTTCTATCTTCTGTTGAGTCTGGATCATATGAATATGTTGTAGTCTTTGAGGGTGTGTCTCAGTGGTCTTTCTGTGAAAACAAGATTCATAGACATTTCAGTAACTAGGAAACAGTTACGACATCTGTGTCATCTGTGAACATGTCAGGTAAATTAACTTGTGCTTTATGTTCTCTTTTTATCTTCTCTTTGTGTTTGTGTGTGAGTTCTATGGTTTGTTGTTTGTTTTCCTTCATTCTCGCTTGACTTGATTTGGTTTGGTTTTCCCTTGTCCATTACAGGCGATGTTCGGAGGCTGGAAACAGTATTAGAATCCATCCAGAAAAACATTCACTCCTCATCACACATCTTCAAGCTTGCCCAAGATGCATTTAAAATAGCAACTCTCATGGACAGTTTGCCAGACATCACTCTTTTGAAAGTATCTCTGGAACTGGGCCTGCAGGTACAAGACAGGTGTCTTTCCTGGGGCACTAAACACCAATAATTAACAGCACCTTTTAGGATTGTGTTTACTTTGTTTTAAAACTTTTTAGTGCAGGTAAATGACTCTTCAGAGCCAAAAATCTGTTAATCTTCAAAAGGAAACTACTTTAAACAGAGCTTTGACCGTTTCTAATCTGAGCCAGACTGTTGCCTGAAGTACAGGATCTGTGTATGCAGAAGCCTTATCTGGGTTTCTCAATTTAAAAACTCATCTGTGAATTATAACCTTTGCATCTCACTTTCTGCTCATAATAGAGAATTATTGCTATGAGAGACATGAGTAAAGCTCAGAAAGAATAAAGATTCACTTGCGAGGATTAACTTTTATTCATGTTTCCATTGAGCACTCCTAGATTTTTATAACCCTGAGAAAATTAGGTAAAGATTGGTAGATTGAGCCAGGATCTAGTTTCAGGATCAGCAGGACATTTTGGGTTCATCAAGCAGGTAGATATATATTTTCCTAATAGTTTCTGCACATTAGTGTGTAAACCAGGAACTAAAAAGTTTGTTTCTAGTTTTTCCACTAAATCTCTATTAACATTTGATTTTCCTTTTATAAAATAAAGTGGTAGAAATTGTTAGACATTTTTTAATTCCCTAAAATACAGCAAATAGAATACCCTCATTAGCCTGGTGATAGTGGCTCACACCTGTAATCCTAGCTAATCAGGAGGCTGAGATCTGAGGATTGCGGTTCAAAACCAGTCCAGTCAGGAAAGTCTGTGAGACTCTTATCTCCAATTAACCATCAGAAAACCAGAAGTGGAGCTATGGCTCAAGTAGTAGAGCACTAGCCTTGAGCACAAAGCACTCAGGGACAGCTCTCTGAGTTCAAGCCCCATAACAGATGTTCAATAGTATAGATTTTAGTTTACTCTAGTTTTAATCTACTTTTAGACTCTTCCTTGCACTGATGAGTTACTAAAGCTTAAAGAATTGGACCATAGGAAAGTATCCTTACCAATATATATTAGGAGAATAACATGTAGTATTGAACAGAGTATAGAATGTTGTTTGTAAGTTACACAATGGCAATTTAGAAATTTCTTTTTAAATATAATTTCTTATTATTTGGTTTATTTATGTTATTGTTTGCCCCATCTGAAAGATTGCTTTACCAGCAAGAAATGTCAATGTGAGCTTTCTGCTTGGAATTCTGCATAAATAGCAGTTTAGTGAAAGCTTTTTTCCTGTCTCATTTTTTTAAGGACCTAAGAAAGGGCCTTCCTAAGACCCTAGGATTGTTATATCCCTAGATTTTTTAATCATAAAGAGTGGAGGACCTAGAAAAAAAAGATATGCTTATTTAAAGACTTCTTATTAGAAAGTGAAAAACAAAATCAGATAATTTCTTTCTGTAAGCGTCAGGCGAACTTTAATATCACCTGGAAGGAACAGCCAGAGATGAAGAAATAACTAAAAATTATTATTTTAAATATTTCTTTCTACTTTGTAAGTTCTTTGAGTGAATTCATTAGGAACCTCAAAATTGAACCCTGGAATGCTAAATAAAACTGGGGAGAAACGGCTGTATTTAATGCTCCATTGTAGGCCTCTGGATTTTCAGAGGAGAAAGGACATTGGGAAATGTGTTGAGGATGCCTCATCTGGTTAGAGGTTCCACCAGAAGTAGAATATGGGCCCCTTGCCTTCCTAGATGAGGGCAAGGCAGGCTGGAACCATGAACAAACTTAAATACATGCATAGATTTTTGTTCTAAATAAAGTGCTCATCATCTTTCTGGTAATATAGAGACTCTGCTTCGTAGTTTATACCATAGAATAAATGTGGTGGATTTTTTTCCATTGACTTAGAAATAATCCTCTAAAACATTTTCTCATCTGTATACAGGTTATGCGAATGACACTGTCAACCTTAAATTGGCGACGACGGGAGATGGTCAGGTGGCTTGTGACATGTGCTACTGAAGTTGGTAGGTAACTCATGATAGGATGTAACCTGTCATTTATAGGTCTGAAAACTGCTCTCTTGGCTTCTCCCCTTGAAGCACCTGGCAGGGCTCTCTCTCACCATCCCAGCCCCTTATACACACTTGCATTGTTCAGCTTCCAAACTCAGGAAGTGGTGTTCCAGATTGTTAAAATGTAATAAATAAGCATGTTTGACTCAGTTTCTGTAAAGTTATCTTGTTACTATTGAGTTTTTTCATTATCTGAGTATTCAGAGAAAGGCTAGTCTCCAAGTGTGGTTTCAGTGGGCTTTCAAGAGTGTGATAAATTGTAGTTAGCTATAATCAAAAATCCTCAGGCTACCCATTGGTTACAGTTGGTGAGACCTTTCAGCCTCCTGCTTCTCTTCCTCAGCAATAGATCAGGACTAAGGAACTGCATATTCCCAGTAAGAATGCAACACAGACACAGTGGTGGTTATTTAAACTGATGTTGGTTAAATTGTTTCTCTCTTTTTTCCTGTTTGCATCAGAAAAGGATGTATTCCTCTTTCTGAGAAGACACTGCCAGTCTCAGAGTCTAGATACTAAAACAGCAGTTTCTGTAAATTTAATCTTTTTTTAAAAATTCATCTGAAGAGGAAATTTAGTTTCAATATGAAAATTATGTTTAGTTTATTAAAGTCATATTGCTGAAATAATGTAAAAGTGATATGAGCTTAAGCTATCACCCAAGATAAACACCTGATTTCTCTTTGAACCTTAACACCTTCACTTTCAGAGTTGTCCTATAGGGTAAGGCATACAAGTTCTTTGTCCTTACCATAGTTAAGGACTTTGCTGACCATTTCCAACATCTGAGTCATATGACTAGGGCCGCTTTCATTGACTCTTTCTCTTGATTTTGTGTGAAATTTTCTTGCCTCTCTCTATATATATTAAGTTCTTGTATGTGTGCTCTTTAAGCTTACATACAGGCACACACCTCATATGTAAAATTCCTGTTTGCCTGATGATTGCACTTCTTCTTCAACATCTGTAGTGGGTAACATGGAGACTCTCTTTAACCAGCATGCATTAGCAAGAAGCCACCTCCTTTAATGGCAGGCAGGCAGCACAGTACCAATACCAGCTACCAAGAGGATTGCTGCTCTATTATGGGAAGTTCATGTTCCTTTCAGGCATTTCACCCACTATTCAATCCGTAATAACTTTATTCTGAGACTGCTCTCAAGCATATTCCTTTCAGGGTTTCTGACTTAGCTTGTGTCCTGTGATAGTTAACAACCTAAACATTGATTATAAAAACAGAAACAAGGCTTGCAGCTAGCCTCTTCTTCAGTAATAAGACTGCTGTTCCTTGCAGGTGTTTATGCTCTGGACAGCATCATGCAGAGCTGGTTTACACTCTTCACTCCCACCGAGGCCACAAGTATTGTTGCAACTACCGTGATGTCCAATAGCACCATCGTTCGCCTCCATCTTGACTGCCACCAGCAGGAAAAGCTGGCCAGCAGTGCCCGGACGCTCGCATTGCAGTGTGCCATGAAGGACCCACAGAACTGTGCCCTCTCTGCGCTTACCCTCTGTGAAAAGGATCACATAGCTTTTGAGACGGCATACCAAATTGTCCTCGATGCTGCTACCACAGGCATGAGCTACACACAGCTCTTTACAATAGCACGGTACATGGAGCACCGCGGATACCCCATGAGGGCCTACAAGCTGGCCACCCTCGCCATGACCCATCTCAACCTGAGCTACAATCAGGACACACACCCTGCCATTAATGATGTTTTGTGGGCCTGTGCACTTAGCCACTCCCTTGGTAAGAATGAACTTGCAGCTATAATACCTCTAGTGGTCAAGAGTGTCAAGTGTGCAACGGTACTGTCAGACATTTTGCGCAGATGTACTCTGACCACTCCTGGCATGGTGGGACTTCATGGAAGGAGGAACTCTGGTAAGCTCATGTCCCTGGACAAAGCCCCCTTGAGGCAGCTCTTGGATGCCACCATTGGAGCCTACATCAACACAACGCACTCACGACTCACACACATCAGTCCTCGGCACTATAGTGAGTTTATAGAATTCCTCAGCAAGGCCCGAGAGACCTTCCTAATGGCGCATGACGGACACATTCAGTTTACACAGTTTATTGACAACCTGAAACAAATCTACAAAGGCAAAAAGAAACTGATGATGTTGGTTCGGGAGAGGTTTGGTTGATAGAACTTGTATGAATGGGGAAGGGGGTGGGGAGGGAAGGGATGGTTTGTTTTTACTTGAGCCTGCCTTTGTACCCTTTTTAACTTAAAGAACAGAGCCACACCGGTATTATATGTGTATAGTTCTATTGCGTTTGCAGACTAAATTGTCATGTTGTGAAAGTTTGTGTGTTTTAAGTTTTCCCTTTTTCTTTCTTTTATTTTTTTTTATTTTTTTAACTGGTTTTGTATGTGAGAGAGGTTTAAAAGGTTTGGTTTACACTGAGTATATGTTGTCAAGTGGCAAAAGTCCACATAGCTCTCCTGTTTTCTGTATACGTTCACAGCCTCAAAAAAATTGAAATGGCTTTAAAAACCAAACAAAACACCTCCATCCTGTGATAAGTACCTCGAATGGATTCAGCTTTACTCCTTTGTAACTCATCTTTACATTTTCAGCATATTTAAACAAACCAACAAAATGAAATACTAGTAGTGAAAAGGCTGACCCACGTGGCTTTGCAGTGCTGTTCGTCCAGAAGCATGGCACACGATGCTTGTGCATGTGGAAACTTAGCGACTGTCAACATACATTCTCAGGGATTTATCCAAAAAAATTAAAAAAAAGAATGAGAGCATTTATTGTACTGTATATATATTATAGTATATGTCTGAATATTGAAAATATAACATTAACTAATTTATAAAAATATTCTATGTAATGCAAAATACTTGAAGCTGCAGTAGCTTGGTTTTAAACAAAACAAAAAAAAAAACTGAGAGAAAACCTATCAGAAGGACTAAAAGTGCGCCTTGCTTCAGGGTTGGCTCAGGCAGTGAACTTCATGCTGGCATCTATGCAGAGCCATCTTCTGGATTGCATGGTTGGACTGAGCTCTATTGGGAGGAATTATATATGTATATATATTTATACAGCTCTGTATACATATATATATGTATACACACAGACACACACACACCAACAACAACCACTACACCACACATGCTTTCAACAGGCACTAGAATAAAGAGGGACAACAAAGTACACAGCCAGAGCAGCAAGCCTTAGCATTAAGAATATACAGTATGTTGGAACTGGGGTTCGTGCCTCTTAGCCTAGGAAACTTAAAAGAAATATCCTTTTGACACAAAACACAAAACGTTTTCCAAAACAATTGACATATGATACATTACGCCTTTGCAGTGAGCTAATAATAAGCTAACCTTTGTGCACAAATAACATTATATATATTATATATCTATTCTGCATAGGTATTTTGACTTTGTGCAGGACAGAAAGTTGTGTAGGTATGACTGTTCTACTTTTCAGTTTTCTTTCCTTTTTTTTAATATATATTTTTATTTTCTCTAGAATTACTCAAACAAAAGCAGCCTTCTATCTTGCCTTGTCTTAATGCTTTAAAATAACCAAACTGGAGATCTAACTACCAAACTGTTCATTATATTATTAAAATACCAACTTTGGTTACAGTATAGTGTCTTTACTTTAGCTGATGGTTCTGTAACCTTGTGCTTTTTAAAGCAATTTTTATGTTTTGGTGCAAAAGTTGTCCAGTGTCTCTTGTTCCCTTCATTAGAGAACATGCTAGAGGTATGTTTGTAGGTATTTTTGTTTAGAAGAACTATTTCATGCGCTCCATTTTATTTATTATAATAGGTAAAAAGAAAAAAAAAGGTTGTACTTCATCACTCATGTAAACATGCTCATGAAGTTGAAAGTAATTAAGATTTGATACACTGATATCAATTTATTTATGTAACTAAATCACTGTTTTATAAACTTGTTAATGATCAACAATTTTTTGTTTTGATTAAAATTAGTTTTTTGAAAGTTGATTCTGCTTCCTTTATGGTGTATCTCTTTTTACACTTGAATTTGCTAACTATGACTTGGTTGTTACCATAACTCTTAAGTGTCTAATACTGAATAGTCCAAGGGTGGGAACATCCAGTCCATGGGTGGTTGGAGCCTGCAGCAACATCATTTGATATATGGTAGGGCAGACATACATGCTGCTCCTCAGCTGCCCAAAGCCATTTCCTGTATGATACTTCTATATGGCCTGTGAAGGATATTATAAATACCCAAATGGCCGTTGGCAAAAAAAAAAAAAAACGATTCTCATTCCCACAAGTCATTTAGTAAATATTTCAGTGATGTTCTCAGATATTGTCCAAAGCCCTGGAGACACAGAAGTGGACAGAACTCAGTCCTGAAGCTGTCTACTGAGAGAAAAAGATAGACATAAATCAGATAATCATGATAATCACAAAGATACAGCAGGAGACAGAATAGTTCAGTGCTTTTCAGTGTGCACACTTGCACATTCATCCCTAACTAATAGCTATAATTTAGGATGCTAAGTACTTGGCATGATGAATAAATGTTAAGTTTATGAGGCTCTTTTGTGCCTGTTGTGTAAAAAGAAATTGCATTATTTCAAGCAAATTTTATGTATACAACCTAGGTATCTGTACTGCCCCATCTCCATGAAAGATAGGAAAACAAAAAGGTGTACAGAGCTGGGAAGATGGCTCAGTGGTGGAGTGCTTGTCTTGCATGCATGAGGCCCTGGGTTCGATTCCTCAGCACCACATAAACAGAAAAATCCAGAAGTGGCACTGTGGCTCCAGTAGAGCGCTAGCCTTGAGCTAAAGAACTGAGGGACAGTGCCCAGGCCCAGAATTCAAGCCCCACAAACAACCAAAAAAAAAAAAAGAAACACACACACACAGAGACACCAGTACAAATACATGTATAGAAAAAATACACAAAGTTTACTGCCCATTTTTAATTTACACAGTTCAGTCCCATATATTTACATTACTGTAACATCTTTAACCTTTTCATCTTGCAGAACTAAAATGACTATCCCTTCTCCCACTGTCTGGCAAACACTAGTCTACTTTCTAGTTTTATGAATTAACTACTTTAGATATCCCCTATAAGTGAAATCATACAGAGTCTTCCTGTACCTGGCTTATTTCACTTAGAATAGGAATCTCCAAGTTCATCCATACTGAAGCATGTGACAGAATTTCCTTCCTTACAAAGCTGTATTCTGTCTCATTGTACATATGTACTACATTTTATTTATCCATGATGGACATTTGGGCTGCTTCTCAGATAATTGTGAATGCTGCTGTGAACAATGAGTCTAGAAAGGCCTCTCTGAGACCATGCTTTTAATTCTTGTATATATACCCAGAAGTGGAATGGATAAATCATTTTCTTTCCTCTCTTAAAATACTTGGAAAGTTTCTTTTTAACACCTAGTCTTAACACACTAGAATCCAAATGTCAAGAGGCTAAGCCAATGGATAGAAATGAAAATAAACGAGTCCATAGTGACATTTAAAATCCAATTAATGGCAAAGAGAAAAATAAAAACTACAAAATAGTATGAGATTGGTTCTTTTTTCCTTCTTAGTTTTGCTAAAGTTGGTATTGCTCAAGGGCAAATATAAATTTATATAGATCCACTAAAATACTGGAACAATGTATAATGAAGTAGACTTTGGGGAATAAGAAGTAGACTTGGGAATAAGAAAAGTGACGTCTAGTAACAAAGACTTGAGATTTTCCCTGATGGAAATGAATCCATATTCATTGACCATGTTTACAGAGATCTTAAGATTATGAGCCTTTAGAAGAGATAGAAACCAAGATTACTTCCTCATAATTTTATCCAACATTCTTGCCCAGGTTTTTATCCACTGTTTGAACAGACACACTGATTTGGTTTGTGCATGTTTTCTTATCTCCAATGGGGCTGATACTCTCAAAAAAAAAAAAAAACTGAATATGTTAACATTTTGAATAGCAGGCTGGGTGCCGGTGGCTCATGCCTGTAATCCTAGCTTCTCAGGCTGAGATATGAGGATCGAAGTTCAAAGCCAGCCCAGGCAGGAAAGTCTGTGAAACTCATTTTCAGTAAACCACCAGAAAACTAGAAATGGCGCTGTGGCTGAAGTGGTAGAGTGCTTGACTTAAGCTGAAGAGCTGAGGGACAGTACCCAGGCACAGAGTTCAAGCCTACAAAAAACAAAACAAAACAAAAAAAACACTCCAAAAAAACATTTTTTTAATAGCAGAAGGGAAAAATTGAAGAAGTGACAAGCTTAGATAATTCAAAGGTAAAAGGATTTTTTCCTAATTGGGTCTTGAACTGGAATTCTGCATTTCAGTACCCTATATATTTGATATTTCACCTGAAAAGTAGAGACTGTAGTTTCAGGGGTAAATAAATGTTTCACGACTTTCAAATATTAATAAGTCAGTGGAATAAAAATTAACAGAGGTCACTGTAGTCACAGTATCTTAAAGTACATATAGTAACGAAGGAAAACCCAGTTTCCTTGCTGAAAAAGTTATTAGCAGCTGGTTCAAGAATTAAATGGTCAGAAGACAAAAAAGTAGAGGCAAAACATCATTTATCTGATAAGACTTTAGTACAATATGTTTCTGAGGGCTGGGAAGATGGCTCAGTGGTGGAGTGCTTGCCTTGCATGCATAAGGCCCTGGGTTCGATTCCTCAGCACCACATAAGAAGAAAAGGCTGGAAGTGGAGCTGTGGCTCAAGTGGTAGAGTGCTAGCCTTGAGCTGAAGAGCTCAGGGACAGCGCCCAGGCCCAGAGTTCAGGCTCCACGACAGACAAAAACAAAAAACAATACATGTGACTGAAGTAAAACGGAAGATGAACTGTTTCATAGCGGTTTATAGACCAATTCAATGTAATTGGAGCCAAAGGAAATGTGTTGGAATGATTCTACATGGCTCATTCAGCCAACCCGTGTGCCTGCAACATGATAGTTTTGGTGCCAACAAGACAAAGTAAAATGCCTATTCTCATGGAGCATAGATTCCAACGGGAGGAATGTCTCATGGACAAGTCACATGTCCTCCCACAAGGCAAGTGGTTTCAGGATGATCAGGAAGATGACTTTAAATTGAAATGAACAAACACCTGAATTAAATATGAACAAATGCCAGAAGTGTGTGAGAGACCTCTCCCTGCTTATTTGTGGCTGACTTTGGAGATGGAGGAAAGAGCAAGGGCTACCCAGCTTGGGTTCAGTGATAGTGAAGTGGACAGAGAGGGTAAGAAGGGAAACTAAAGAGCAGACAGTCGTCTCCTAGAGAGGACTGTAGGTCATTGTGAGAAGTCTTGCTCTGAAGGATCCATGTAGAAAGGAATCGTGGCCCGACTGGAATGATGCGAAACCATTTGCTGACTACTATGTGATTAGAACAGCAAGCAAGAAGTCAGGAACCAAATTAGGAAACTGTCAAAAGAACCCAGGACAAAGACAATGGTGTTTGGACTCAATGAGGCCAGTGGGGATGGTGACCAGTGGTTAAAGACTGTACCTTATGAAAAGTTGAAGCTCTCCTTGGTATTAGATTTGGCATGTGAAGAAGAGAAACATCAAAAACGACTAAAATATTAACCTTATGCAGTGAAAGGAAGAAGTTTCATTACCTGAAATGGAGATGAGAGATTTCTTGGAGGAAAACTGAGTTCCATGCTAAACACTTCAGACTTGAGATGGCTGAGATACTCAAGTGAAACAGTCAAATGAGAGTTAGCTCAGGAAAAGGCTTGGGGCTAGATGCAAACAGTTGGGAGCTTTTCATTTTATTTTTTTTAATGTGTTATATAACCATGAGCCAAGAAGTCTGTAAGGACAATTTCATCCAAAATAATAATGTTCATTCCCCTGACTGAACTGTTACTGTGACAGCAGCCCCACCCCACCAAACCCTCCTTATCTTGACCTCTAAATGGTGGCCTGTAGCACTCGATTTGAGCTGCTTTTCTTCTCCTGGCTACAGATTGACTTTGTTCTCTTCAAATAGTTTCTCATAGATGGGAAATTGTCATGACTTGTCATGGCTTTCCCCCAAACATAAGTAGGAGGTGGGTCATAGGGCATAGACATGGCTAGGTAGAGGTGGAGATGGAGCCAGGGGAATGCAAGATTGCAGAGTAGAGAAGTTTATCTTAATGCAATTATTTGTGTTTCCTATGCCAATAACAATAATAGCCTCTGGATGAACAACATTATAAATATAACTGTCTTATAAATATTTGGACCATCATTGCTATCTTCTGGCAAAAATTTTATACTTCCTACATTTTGGGGAATCTTGATTGTTTCAAATAAGATGGAGCCTAGGCCTTATCGTTCCCTTTTCAAATATTCCTTTTTGTCTCTCCTTCTCAACTTATTAGTCTGAAATTTTCAAACAGAGAAAGGTTGAAAGAGTAACAAATTGAAAGCTTTCGTTTCCTCAATGTCCACGTGAGCTGTGAAACTTGGAAGTACAATTCAGTGACCTACATTCATGGGTCTAGTGACTCAGTCCTGGACACCAGCTCCTGGGATCTGCTGAGACAAATGGTTCCCACATAAGGGACCCTGTTCTAAAATGGGAAAGGAGGGAAATAGCCTCTATTTAAATCTTTGCTCTCAGAACCAAGGAATGTGTCTCTACACCTTCTTAGTGGATATAGGAAGAAATGTGAAATGGGAAAATATAGTTGTTGGAAGAAATGGCCTTATTTCACTGCGTGTATTAACATTCAGGTGGGAGGAAAAAGGAACAACTTTAGCTGTTACACAACTCCACTGATAAATTCTAACTTGGAGGATGTAGCCTTTTAAACATAGGTACCTTCAGAGGAATTTGACTTTTCCTCTGTATAAAGTTTTGCAATAGGTGGCTACCTTGTAAATATGTACTTCAAGTATTAGCATAAAATGTCCTTTCGGATGGTTGGAGCATAGCTTCC